GGAAAAGCAGGCCACTGGCCTAAAACAGAAACTGGGGACAACGTCATCCTGTGGTCCTCCTGGATAATGCCAAGTGTTAATTCCATGGGCACGGATCATGGCTGCTCCACATAAGGTGTCCTTACCCTCTATCTAGACCATGTCTCACCGCAGTGAACCCACAGGACATACAGTTACCCATTACATGGCTTCTTTGCTCCCTCTTTCAACATACCCCCCTAACCCCTGCCTCCTACTGTGTACTCACTCTATGCCTCTAGCAAAGAGACCCTCAGCACCAACCCCCTTACCAGGGACATATCAAAGGAAGGGATTCTATTTTTATTCTTCTCGTTCCAAAGTCATTCATTGGCCCTTACTCCCATATAAAATGATTCACTTTGCAGTATCATCTGTTTAGTTCCCCAGTAAGAAAGAGAAATCATCCATTCTTCAGTTACCCATCTTTGTTCCACTGCCACCATGCTAGACTACAGCTGATGCTATGGTTTCTGGTCCGATCAAGCTCATTCCCCATACAGGCAATTCTGCACAACATGGAAATCACGTGATCTTCTCTGTTCAGAGCCCTTAGGTGACTTTCAAATATTTATAATCAAATCCAAATTCTTTACCATGATCTACAATGAAGGCCCTACTGAGATGGGAGTTAGGATTATGTTAAGCAGTAAGGACAGTGGGCCCAAAACGAAGTAGGGAACCCCCAAATGGAATCACCTTCTGAGAATCATACAAAAACACCAGCCAGAAGTCTTCTGGCTATCAGGGACCTCCTCAGAGTATAACCAGAGCACTTGAGGCAGGACGGTGACTCAAGGGTACTGGGGCCCTGTGTGAACACTTCACTGTCTGGACACTATAAAAAGCATGAGTTTCCGAAATGGTAGAGATCATATAGCTTACACAAGGACCCAAGCTCCTTTCTACAGCCCTTAAAAGCCCTAGATGAAGAGTCTTTGTGGGTAACCCGTGCAGGACGCCCTCACAGTTAGCGATTCTTTCAAATAAACATGCTTACACTTTGCCACCTCCATCTGCAGTTTTATTCTTCATCACCATAGGATAGGGCCCCAGCGTTCCAGTATCACCTCGAGCTGACCCAGCCCAGTTCTCCCCAGCGCAGTAGCCCTGTCTGGTTTACTGTGGAGCTTACTCTTCCTCAGACCTGTTTCCACTCCAGTCTTTCTTCAGGTCTTCACTTTTTTAAAAAAAAAATCTCTTTTCAGCTAACAACTTGTCTTTAATCTCCTCAAGTTGCTATAATAAGATACTATAGAGCGGATGTCATACAAAGAGAAACGTTTCTTAGTCTGCAGGCTAGGAATGCAAGATCAAAGTAGAATCAGTGTCTGAGGAGGGCCTCTTCTGTAGAAGGCCACAAAGCAGGTCTTTGGAGATTTTTGTTTTTTAAATTAAGGACACTACTTGCATTCATGAAGGTTTTTTCCTTATGACCTAACTTGTCCTCAAAGGCTACACCCCTTAATCCATAACACTGGTGGCTAAATTTCAACACACACATTCTGTTTTATTGGGAGGGAACTATGTTAATGTTTAAAATCTACCTCCCATGAAGGCTTTTCTGATTCTCCTCATCAACTCCTTTATTATGCATCTCGCTTTTTTTCTGGGACAAAATACATGGTATTTGTAACTTGAAAGAGAAGAGGTTTATTTAGTTCACAACTCATGGTTGGCTGGTTCCAAGACAGAAACATCATGGTGGAAGGGTGTTGGAACAGGAAAACTGCTTAAACTCACAAGAGTCAGGAAGCAGAACCCAAGGGAAGAGCTGAAAAGATGCACCCTTCAAAGGCACCTCCAGCGACCCACCTCCAGCTGGGCCCCACCTAACAGCATATTCCACTGAAAACATCAGTGGATTAAAGCATGGATGAGTACTGTGCCCTCGCCATCAGTTTTCCAGCAGTCTCTAGATCTAGTCAAGTGAAAATTAAACTTACCATTACACCCCTCCTCATGACTGTTTCACTCTCATACTGGTGATCCTTACACCATCCTCCCAGCAAACTCTACAATAAAACTTCAGCTTTATAGATGAGTAATGTTACACGCCACCTACCAATGAGCCCAAAAAAAGAAAAGGGACCTAACTAACTCAAAGATGCACCCCCACTGCCTGGTAGGTATTCAGTAAATACATCTGAATAAGATTCTACCAGAAGACAACTGGATTTGAATGACACACCATGTACTATACTGCCAAACCACAGCCCCGTGGTGTTTTTCATCTGGACCATCTAAAATGATGAGACTGAATTTAAGCTCCAACACTGTTACCATTTGTTTTTCATAAAGGGTGGACCTAGGGCTGGTGTGGATGGATGGCACGACTGGGCTGGGTGTACCACATGTTACTGTGTTTAAAACCCCACAATCGCTCCAGGTAGCTGTGGTTAGCACTGTCTCAAAGCAGAAGACCTGCAGACCTGCTAGGGAGGGTGGGAAGTGAACTGCTGCGGAGAAAGTGGTGGTGCTGTAGGTGAGGCTGGATCTCTGGGTTCTGCAACTCTTTCCTCCCCTCAGCGCCTACAGCTGAGCTGCAGCAGGCCCGCTTCTGCACCGCCAACCAAACTGTTGCTTCTGAATGACCAATGGAATGGTGGCAGTGAGTGAGATATACGCCACTTGCCCGTGAACATGAATGGGGGTCAGAAGCACAAGTGTGCTTCTTACTTACACACCTGTAATGTGTCCAATAGGCTCAGGAGGAGGACCACTTCATGCCTGCACTCACATTCCCTCTGCCCTGAGGCAGGAAGATATATTTACTCATGCAGTAAAACAGCAAACAGGAATCCCAGGCTCTAGGCCCATTCCTATCATTTTCTGGGCTCCGCTGTGTAATTCTGGACACTTTAGGTAATCTTCCAGGATCTCAGCACTACATTTGCAAAACGGGTTGTGTTGCTATATGGTCTACCTTTACCAGTTTAAGATCTAGTAATAAGTTATGGTTTTTATTGGCCTATTTTGCTCTGGACACTGGACCTACAAATTTTCTATATAGGATGCTGCCTTGCAGTCTATGGGCTATCAAAGTTATTGCCTGTTCTGACCTCAATAACAGAAATCAGGAGGCAGCCCTGGCACCCTTCCCACCTCTTAATTTCATATTCGGCAGCTGCTAAGACCAAAAATATACATCATTCAATATTTACATCAGGACTTAAATCACATTACCCATTCTGCACTTAAATACACTGCATTAATATTATAAGGGAGCTGCGTGTTTGAGAGCATATTAAGCAAATTTGAAACTGAGATTGTTTTAGGCATCATTCCTCTCTGTTTCTGATGTCCTTTAAGTGCAAGGGAAAGGTGAAAAGTTGGGGTTTAATAACACCGAACATTATAATTTGACTGTCTGAAGAAAGATAATTCAAAATTAACTTTTGCTTCCATACTTACAAGGAATATCATTCAACAAACTTCAACTACATGCAAGAAAGACAACGCAATTCTAATCCTCCCAGCCAACTCTGCAATAAAATTTCCAATTCACACATAGGCACAGAAGGGGAACAACTGATCCTTTAAAGCCAGGAATGGCATTATGCCTGATATCCCGGATGCTGAGGCAGGAGAATCACAAGTCTGAGACCAGACTGGGCATTTTAGTGAGACCTTGCCTCACATTTCTGATGGTATGGACAACTATTTTGAAGACAAGAGGCATTATGGCAGCCATAATGTTTATTTCCTATTATCTTGTTTTGAAGTCCTGTACTGCTTTCACTGTTTTTTTTTTTTTTGGGGGGGTTGCTTTTATTTGGTTTTATTCTCTTAAAAATAAAAAAAAAATTAAAGAGATGGAGCGCTAAGGATGTAGCTCAATGCAAAGGCCCTTGATTCAACCTTCAGCAATACAAAAAACGTAAAGCAACAACAAAAACTGTTTCTGCCTTCTTCCCCTCGCTGATATGGGAGTTGCCTTTCATAAATAATTGCTTTGAAATGGCAAAATAATTTCACTTTTAAGCCTGAACGCATTACACTCACCCTGTTCTCTCATAAGGGGCTCATGAGGCCTGCAAGGGCCAATACTGTACTTTAGTAGCGTTAGTTGCTTTGGCACTGATTTGCCAAGGACAACTGAGAAGACAGCCGTCCTTCTTTTGCATTGGCCAGAAATTTCTAAAAGTGAACAAAGACAACTGTATTGTTGGCCAATAATAAACAGCCTTAAGTTTTATTATCATTTTCCCTTGTGTACTGTCCGGTAATTCTTCTCTCCTCCATGCCAGAAGTAAGTGCTTGGAAGCCCGGGGAAGCTGCCTGCAGTGTTGAGAACTCTTGCTCCCTCTGTCCACACCATAATGAGGCCTTGCGCTGAGACTTCTGAGCACCCATGGTGCAGGAAAACTCAGTTCTAACTTTCAAGTTTGCTTACAATGCGCTTTCAAACCAGACGCCTCCGACACCAGAGAAGCTCCAAGGAAAGCACGCCGGTACTTTTTTTATAAATCCTTTAAAACAAAATCTCAGGATTGCGCTGCAGGAGAAAACTTCAAGGCAAAAATCTAAGTTTGGAGGAAAAAGAAGCCGGAAGCTTGAGCAAGAGCATAACGCAGCTCTCCCACGTGGGCCGCTAACAGAGCATAGCCCGGAGAGCGGAAGCGCGAGTCCCACAGGCTTAGAAGAGGCAGTTGGGGCAGCTGCAGGCGCCAGGCCGACCGGGACGCCCGCAGGCTCCAGCCAGGCGCAGCTCCCGGACTAGCGGCACTCGGGAAGGTGGTAGCGCGGGCGCACCCCTGCTCACCTACAGCTCCTCTGCCAGGGACTCGCGGGCGCCCTGCGCGGGGCAGCGCAGCTGAGCCTACAGAGTGGTGTCTCGTGGGGTCCGAGTCCCCGATCCCCAGAGCCGCGCCCCAAGTCCCTCCCCGCCGCGCCCCTGACGCCCAGGAGGGGCGCACAGCCCGAGGCGCGGTCCTGGGCGGCGGGCTTCGCAGACTGTGGCCGCGGGACCGCGATCTCACCTTCACGGGCGTGGCGGCGGCAACCGAGGCCATATCTAAGTGGGAAGGAGGCCGGCGGGCGACTCGCTGGCCGGGAAGCGGAGACTGGATGGCGCGCAGCGCAGGACACAGCAGCGCGAACCCTCGCGGCCCTGGCTCCTCCTCTTCCTCCCCGGGACAGCTGGATTGGCTGCTCCTGTGGGCTTTCCTCGCCACCCCCCTCCTTAAATCAAGGTTCTCGTGTCCCGCCCCTTTCGTAGACCTTTCCGGTTCTCCCGGTTTCTTTTTGTTTCCCGTTGTAACTGGCTCTTGATGGTGGTAATCATGGGCCCTGTTTATGGCGCGCTTTTATTGTTCCAAACTCTGCTCTGCATCTTCATTAGCTTATAAACTTCCACAAAAAACCCTCCAAAGCACAACTGTACTCCCCAGGTTGGCTCAGTATTAGGTGTCTGCGCGGCCTAGGTCCCAAAGCTGCGCACTGCACTTCAGAGGGTCTGATGGGAGGCAGAACCCAGGCAGCAGGGAACTAGGGGCTCCCAGAGATTCCCTCTCTGTGCCAGCTGGGGAGGCTCTGGTCCGGTGGGGGTGAGGCTTGCTCTTCTCAGGATAAACCCACCCAGGCTTTGCTTATTTCCCTTAGTTCATTAGGGACGAAGCAGGAGTGTGTTAACCGGAGTCAGGGAAATGGGAAACAGAGTAAGGTGAGACTGGTTGACTATCTTACTCATCTTCAGTTTGAGGGAGGCTTAAAAGAATGTGACTCTGTCCAATTCCCACCCTGGCTCTACCAGACAAGGCCCATCCTTAACCCTTCCTACCTCAAGGCATCTGGTACACGCAGATTGAGAATGCAGTCCCATGTCGTCGTCCTCAACACTGGAACACACACACACAGCCTATTAGTTCCCCACTGGGATAGTTTCTCACAGTCGAAGCTCACTATCTCTCCCATACTGAGATAATTCTACTGTCCTTCCTTCATAGTGCAATAACTTGAGACAAACTAATTGTGTGGCAGCGATTTTAAGGATGACCTCCGAGGTCCATAAAGGCTGCAGCTAACTCTGGGGTAGAAGGATGACAAGGAAGATGATACTGGCCTTCTCTCCTATAACAGTGTTATAGTTTAGAACTAGATGTCCCTGAATCCTCGTGCAGTTATAGATGGAATTTTGGGGGAGTGAAGGAGTATGGGGCATTATAGCTCACTTGCTGTTAGAAGGTAACCATGCATTGGAAGAGGCAGGTCACTTTGGGCGGGACTAGGAAAGATATATTTCCCTTTCTGCTTCCCAGCCACCATGAAGCAAGCAGCTTTTCAATTCCAGGCCTCTCTGCTGTGCTGTCCTGCCTGGGAGCCACCTGCCTATGGACTGTAACCATGAGCCAAAATAAACCTCTTCTCCTTTAAGTTGTGGGTGTTGGGCATTGTGTCCCAGTTATAAGGAAGTGACTAAAACAGATTTTGGTCTTAGAGAAAAGGGTTTGTCACTGCAACTATACTTGAGCATGTGGTCTAGATGCCTTTGGAAATGATTTGTTGGGGGAGCTCCAAAAGGTTTGGCAATGTCAGCTGCAGAAACAGTCCTAGTATGTTGTATTTAGAGTTCAGAAGACCAAACTGGTGATAAAAAGGGAGATGGTTAGGCCAGATTCAGGAGGTTTAAGTTAAAAAGTATTTCGTTCACTGCTGAGCTCCAGGATATGTGTGTGCTCTGGCAGAAAATTTATCTACATTTTGCTCATATACTGAGGCTTTGCAGGAGTCTAATATTAGAGGAGGTGAGTTAGTTGATCTGATGAAGGAAAATTTCAAGGCAACCTAACAGCAAACCTATTGCTTGCTGCCTTTAGCAAGATCTACTGTGAGAAACAGAAGCAAAAAATTTTCAGTTTTGTCAGAAATAATGTGCCCAAATATCAAGTAGAGGAGGAGAGCCCAGTTGCTGAAAAGATTAGCATTAAAAAGAAACCAAGTACTTTATAGCAAAGCAATAGGAAAAATGACTTGAGGGTTGTCAGGATGAATCAGAAAGATCCCACCATGGCTCCATAATCCAAAAATAAAGTTTACTTTGAGAAGCCATCCACAGGACACCTTACTGAGAGGAGATGTAATGGTACTCCTAGGGAATTGGAACCCTGAGAGTTGTTTCACAGTGGTCAGCCATGACTAAAGAAGACCTGGCTACTGCTTTAGCTTGTGGCAAACCTTAATGTCATCCAATTAGTACTGATTTTACAGGCATGCAAAATGCAAGACGTGGGATCAAGGAGGCTTCCACCCAGACTGGCAGGCCCAGCAGTATTCCCACAGAAGGCAGTACACAATGCTGTGAGAGTGAAATTGAAAGCACGGTTGAGACCCCAGAAAGTTGGAGAAACACGGAACTTGGAATATCAGGAAAGGAGTGAGCAAAGCCAGTCCAACGAATAAACCATGAGAGCTACAACCACTGGCAATGCCTCAGGGGGTAGGGAGCCCTAAGCCCTTTAGAACTCCCATCTCACCACAGTTTACCCTGTGTGGAAGACATGGAGTTTGACTTAGTTACTTTCCTCCTGTTGCCGAGAAAAAAATAATCAACACCTAGAGTTAAAGCGGGGAGAGAATGAACCCAGACTGTTGGGATTAGGGCAGTGCCAATTCAACCAGTGGACTGATCCAGCAATCACCGACTCTAATCCTAGCACCCTCAATCCTAGTAATGAACAATGGATCAATCACAGACTCAGCTGCCTCCAAAAAAGCCTCATCTAGAAGTACATAAAGCTGTAGGGGAGCACCTAGACACAAACCATAACTGAGCTACAGGACTTAACATTTGCCTTGCTGGGTTTCAGTCTTTCTTTGGCCTTATTCCTTTCTGTCCACCTGTTCCTCCCTCTTGGAATAGGGATGTTTGCCATTGTATGTAAGAAGTATTACTTTCTTTTTTATTTTTACTGGGGCTCACAGGTAAGGGTTTGCTTTGAGTCTCAGAGTAGTCTTTGAACTTGGACTTTTCAGCCATGCTCGAAATATTGACTTTGACGACTCTTAGAGATGGGTAAACACATTTTATATAAAGTGATGTGTGTTGGGAGCCTGCCATGTTATTCATGAGAGTATATTCATAAGATGGCACCCGCCTGCCGCCTCCGCTGCTCCCCCGCCCATCGTGTGCCCAAGATGGCACACACATCCTGCTTCCTGGTTCTTGCTCGGCTTACTGTCCCCGCCATATATGGTAATGATTGATTGCTTCCTTGTTGCCGCCCAATCGCCTGTCCCCACGTGTAATCCCATGATTGGATAACATTAGCTATATAAGCCCAAGTATAGGAAGTGCCCGACGCACAACACGGAAGAAGCCGTCGAGGACGGACATGTATGAGGTTGCTGCCCAGTCAATAAAGGTGCTTGCAGAGGCTGAGTGTTCGTGTGCTCCATTCCGCGGGACGGAAGCGGCTCCGGACAGATGTGCATGAATTTTAGAGGGACAGTGAGCAGAATATTTTGATTTAGATTTACATGCCCCCCAAACCTCATGACACCATAGCTTTTGGAAGGTGATTGGATTGTGGAGGAGTTATAGTTCCTTTGCTGCTATGAGGTGGGGTTGGAGGAGGGGGTTGCATATGGGTGTGACTGTATCTCCCTTCAGGCTTTTCCCTTGACTCTCTGATGCCCAGCTTCCATGAAGTTACTAGCTTTTCTTCTGCCATTCTGTCCAGCCTTGGATCTCACTGTAACTGTGAGACAAAATAACCCTCTCCTCATTCAGATTGTGGGTGTCTGATATGCTGTCCCTGTGGCAAGAAAGTGACTAAGACAAGCAGCAAACACAGAAACAAGACATAATTATAATTTTGTTCAAAACATTACTCAACCTGAGTGCTAGACATCTGTTATGGATTCAAAACTGGTGGTCAACTTAACGCCAGCTGGATTAAATCAGCATGGTGCTGAGCGTAGAGGTTCCACCTGAGGAAAGTTGCCAGCATAAATAGAGACATGGAGAAGGAGAAGCTAGGTGTTGTGGGTTCTCCCATCTGTTGCCGTTTGAACTGTTGGTTTTCCCGGAGGAGTTCATTGTGACTAGCCCTGGCTCTGGAGGGGAAGATGTATTGACTGTATTGACTTGTATTGACTGTTCTCATCACCAGAGGAGCTTAGGACCTCCGTGTCACTGAGGATGGCTGTGGTGTTTTTCAGGACAGCCCTGGTCTTTATTATGAGCATGACTTCTTGGCTCCAGTGTAGAACTTTCAACCTACCAACACAGCTCCTTCACCCTGCTGGCATAGACTTTCTAGCTTCCACCGTTGACCTTTGGACCTTCCTAGCACAGCTCCATAAAAGAGACTTGCGTGAGTCCTTCTCGTGGGCTCTCGACCTCCGGTTGTACTTGTGGGAGGCATTGTCATGAGCTCTGGGTCTTCATTTGGACTCATGCAGGACACTGCTATGGTATTCAGGTCCTTGGCTGAATATTCTGGGTCTCTGGTGTTGTGGACAGATTTCCTGCATTTTGTTGTGTTAACTCTGGGTGACCATCATAAATAATATTATAAATTCTGTGTTCTGATTTTAATTGTTCTCCTCACAACCTCTGACTACACCATCTAGCCCGTTACTTAGATAGCATAGACCTTCCCTATTCCATTATTTGCTTTAGCTGTGAGTTTTCTCACAAGGTAGCTTTCTTTTGTTACAATCCCCCAATTTTTTAAGATTATAAGATAAAATGGCACAAGAAGGAAAGTAGATCAGGGGCTTCTTTGAAAAAGCAGAAAGCGAGGATCATGTATGAAAAAATATTTCTCTAGAGACTTTTCTGCTGATTGTTCTACTGCAATCTTTTGATTTTCTCCCAATTGTTAAAGATTATAAAAACTATCCTTAGTTGAAGCCATGTAAAAAAGCAAATAGAGCCCTAGATTTGGTTAAACTCTTGAACAATTGCCACTCAAACAATGGAAGAATCAAATGATCCTGGGGGAAGACTTGTTAGACAGTGATTTTGTGTGGCAATTTGAAAAGGGGGCTGGTAATATTTCATTCTATTTTCACAGGTTTGATCTTTATTTCTTAACAATACTAGAATAAAAAGAGAACAAAATTTCAAATAGTTGGTTCTGTCCCTTTTTGACTGGTACAAAGAGTACTCAGTGAGACAAGAAAGCCTCAGAGGTATATTTTTTGATCTGCTCTTTGATTTATGCCCTATAATTTCTCCTCTACTAACCTCTAAGGTTATGTTTCTGAAGCTAATTCTAAAGAAGTAGC